AGGCTGTTCCAGAAGTGACCCCCTCTGACTGATAGATGAATTTAAGTATTTGCTAGAAGGAATCTGACCTTTAAAAGCAATTCCATTTGTCCAGTAGAGTTATTTGAAGTGATACTGATTCCTCGACTGAAATCTTACTCCTCTTTTACAAAGTGAGTTCAGTAACAAATAACTGACATTCTGTGTTTTAGCTATTTGAAACAACAGCATCACACACATCACTCAATTAGCTGCTATCGATCAATCTTTATATATTTCTGAGAGGCAATTCTCGCAACACTATCTGTACATTTTCCACAGTAAAAGGAGCAGTGAGAAAAAAGTTAAAGTGTTAAGCGAAGATAGGAAAAGCAAAACTGCTGCGGCTTTCATTATTCAAGCAAATCCATTACTCATCTGGTCTGTTTTGCACTGTATGAATAATTTCTCAGCCTTTAAAGCATCCGTCCGTCCCTCCCTGGGAAAATATAATCTTCAGCCTTTTTAACGGGCTCTAACGCGACGATAACTCTGATTCTGCGTGACGTTCATTGCTGAAAAAAATCACCTTGAATTGTAATCAAAAGTGGGATCATAGTGGGATATATTACTATATTACTATAGGTTAATATTTCCAAGAGGTCAAACTCCAGATGTCAATTAAACTAATCTATCATCTTTTTAAAAAATGTCCCGAAAAGTACAGTTTTTTAATAGATTTTTACATCTGGATTGCAAAATTTTTTTTAAAAATATTGTGGCCATAAAATAAATTAACACAACTGTTCTTATCTTCTCATCCAATGACATGTGGAGCTAGTATGTGTATGTGGAGCTAAGCATGATCTGGACCAGGACTGGCCATATATCAAAGAGTTTCAGCTTGTTAAGCCAATAGCTCATTTTCCTGATCGAAATCTATCTTTATTCCACCTTTAATTACAGATTACACTCTTTCTCCACAGCACACTGTCAAATTGTGCACATGGAACGTCCTAAAAAGAGAGAGAACACAGCAGCTGTCATGTAGACTTGAGAATTGAGTTTCACTTAGAAATAGCAATACGCAGGCATATGTGTATGTTTATGTCTTTATCTTATCGTGTTTCTTATGTTTTGGTGCCACCGGCCCCTTTGATAATGGCTTCCTTAATGCTTCCAGCAGCTTTATCCCTTTAAAGATCCAAGAAAAATAGGAGGAATATTGGATTTTTTTAGTCTGAAGTCTTTCTTTGGCCCCCTCAACAACATATATAAAAAAAAACAACAGAAATGATTTTGATCAAATTAGCGTGCAACAAGTCAAAAATATATGTTGGTGTAGTCTTCTACTGGCTGTTTTCAGGTATATCTGAATGTGTTCAACAGGGGTTTGAGCAAAGCTTTTACCACTGAATGATGCAAAAAGTCTCAGATCCAAAAGACTTCAGAAACCGAATGAATCAAATATGACACATTTGGCATTATAGGGTTAAAGACTACTTCATCCAGCCTTGTTCCACTCTGTCATGAATGGCGGTTGGATGTTAAAGGACCGTGGTGCTTTCTTTTCTTTTTTTTTTTTTTTGGTCTATTCCACTCATGATCGTCCAACCTGACTGTGATGTTCGTAAAACTTCCCAGATGTTCCCCATTTGAAAAAAGAAAAAAGAAAAGGAAAAAAGCACTCCTCGTCTGAGAGCTTTTACACTGAAATTACAGGCCAAACCACACGCGTGGCCACCGAGACGGAACCCAACGGATCCAGTGATGACGCAAATGTCTTCTTTTTTTTTTAGCTCCCTTTACTTCATACCTATTATAATACAGTGCCGTTTTTTTGCATGTGTTTCTATTCCAGCCTGTGTTACGGTATGTTACCTTCTAGGGTTGTCATAAGTATCGATACTTAAAAAAGTGTCGATACTAAAATGTTGTATCCGGATATGATACTCATTTTCAAAAGTATAGATACCACCGCCCCTTCTCTCTGATTTATTTATTCATTTATTTACGTTGTTTATGATCATTAACAAGACGTTAGCCTTTAACTGCTAGCTGCGGCTAATGGCTAATAATAACATGCTACCATTAATCAAGTACATATCCAACTCCGCCCACATCCAAGTCGGCCATTTTGATTGCGTCACCAATAGGAAGATCCCAGGCAAGCAAATGGTAATGCCTCATGGCAATATAGACATTAATTTAAAAATAGTGAAATTTATCTTTCAAATACTTAATTAAACTCCATAATTTTATGTCAAAATAGTGGATGTTAAATAGGTTTGTACAATAATAATACAATTATGAAGGCTGGAGGGTTTGGATTAGGGTCATTAATACGGGCCACCATAACATCAGTAACAAGTCAGTTTGAAATAAAAGACACTAACCTGTCAAAATTCATTAAAATGTTGGGGTCTTTGTTTTTATCCTTGTGCTATCGAAAATGGTATCGACTATTGAGTATTTTCCTGAGTATCGGTATCGAGTTGAACATTTTAGTATTGTCACACCCTACTCCCTTCTTATTTCGGGAGGGGACCTTTTCTCACGTTCTGTCTCGGATTGGTATTTTTTTGAGCCACACAATGCCTCCCGCGAAACGAGATCCACGATTTTAGGAGGAAAGATCGCACATCGTCAGGGTTCGGGGGGGATTCTGACCTCCTGAAAGGGTTTTTACTGTAACACTGCTAAGAGCGAAAAACGAGACGGAGAGGGAGGAGCTGGAACCCTCTCTCTGTACTCAGCTGAGCTTGAATGTCACCCTCAAAGACTGATCTCAGTCTGTGCTCTGCTCATTCCTCCGAAACCAAACAGCCTTTTCAGAACCATCATCGGACTGTGAAACACCACATGGAAGAAGGGGTTAGGTTAAACACGTCACCCCTCTGTTCATTGAACTCCACTGGTTACCTCTGGCTGCCCGTATCAAATTCAAGTCCCTGATGCTAGCCTACAAAGTGCTAATGCTAGCCTACAAAGTGCTTAAGGGTTCGGCTATCGTCTACTTGAATCCTCTTGCAAAGGCTTATGTCATCAGTGGACTGTGGTCTAGCAGAGCCTTCACCAGCTTAAGACCATCCAGACTGTCTAATGTGTCGTTCCAAGATGGTGGAACCACCTACCAAGCTACAAGAACAGCAGAGTCCCTATCTGTCTTCAAGAAACTCTTGAAGACCCACCTCTTCAAAGAGCATCTCCTATCCTAACCCTAACCCGTACCTCTACCCCCCACAGCTCCTTCTGTAGTCCCTCTACCTCTATCTCTATCTCACCACTGACTCTGATCAGTGTTTCTCCTCTGTATAGCTTATCGTCATATTGATGAGAAATGTAATATTGTGTCTACTCTGTAAGTCGCTTTGGATAAAAGCGTCTGCCAAATGCATAAACATAAGCATAAACATAAACAAACAGCCTTTTCAGAACCGTCATCGGACTGTGAAACATCACATGGAGGAAGGGGTTAGCTAAATAACTTCTGAGCTGAATTCTGAACGTTGAAGTTACTCTGTTTCCTGAGTCTTTGGATTACAAATCCTGGCACCGAAAGCAGACCGAAACCGATCGAAGCGGCCTGCCTCGGTCTGATAACGGAGGGAATCCTCGAGAAAAAAAACAAAAACATCATCCGAATGAGCAGCAGCACCTGCGGCGGTGAGGCATTGACTAGCAAATGAAAAGAGAAAAGCTTCTGCCACGGCGACTGGACCCGGGCGGTTCTGCAAAACGCTGTCGAGCCGACACACAACTTAGCATGCAAATGGGTTTCTTGGTGGGACTGGAGGGGGCCGAAGGCTCGCCGACAGACTAGGGTTGTTAAAAGTATCGATACTAAAATGTTGTGTCCGGATACGATACTCATTTTGAAAATCATCGATACCCCCCCCTTCTCTCTGATATATCTATTTAGACTGAGAAAAGGATAAAGATACAGAGATAAACAGAGGTATGTTGGATTCTCCGCCTCGTCTTTGAGGCAAATTAAAGGCCTGTTTCATCGACTCATAGCTTTTTTTTACAATCACATGAATTTTATCAGTGAAGAAAGTTAAACAAATGCGGTCTTAACTAGGGTTGTCAAAAGTATCGATACTCAAAAAAGTATCGATACTAAAATGTTGTATCCGGATACGATACTCCTTTTCAAAAGTATCAATACCCCCCCTTCTCTCTGATTTATTTATGTATTTATTTACGTTGTTTATGATCATAAGCATGACGTTAGCCTTGAATTGCTAGCTGTGGCTAATGGCTAATAATAACACGCCAATATTAATCAAGTCTGCAGGAAGCCAAGGACGGATATCCAACTCCCCCACATCCAAGTCGGGCATTTTGATTAGGTCACCAATAGGAAGATCCCAGGCAAGAAAATCCTAATAGCGTCATGGCAATGTAGACATTCATTTAAAAATAGTGAAATTAATCAGGCAAACACTGAATTAAACTATATACATAATATTATGTTAAAATAAAATAAGTTTGTATGATAAGTCCAAACAAGTTTAACCAAAAAATATTAATTTCTCCCAATTATGAAGGCTGGAGGGTTAGGGTCAGAGTCAGGGTCAGGCATAGGGTCAGGTTTAGGTTTAAGATCAGGGTTAGGGTTAGGGTTAGGGTCAGGTTTAGGGTCAAGGTCAGGGTTAGGGTTAGGGTTAGGGTTAGGGTCAGGTTTAGGGTTAAGGTCAGGGTTAGGGTTAGGGTCAGGTTTAGGGTTAAGGTCAGGGCTAGGTTTAGGGTCATTAATGTGGGCCACCGGCCACCATAACTTCAGAAATAGATAAGTTTGAAACGAAAGACACTAACCTATCGAAATTCAGTTACATTTTGGGGTCTTTGTTTTTATCCTTGTGGTATCGAAAATGCTATCGAGTCTCGAATATTTTCCTAAGTATCGGTATCGATTTGAACATTTCAGCATCCCGACAGCCCTAGTTCGGAGGACATAGACGGCCAGAATACGCTGGGAGACGGTACCTTTATAGAGAAGGGCGAAGCCCTGGGCCTGGTTGGTTCGGTCGGAGAAGAAGTAGAGGATGACGAAGTCCCCGGTGACGTTGAGCAGCTCCCGGGGGGGGCTGCGCCAGTCGAAACGCGCCACCACGCGGTTGGTGTAGCCGTCCAGCAGCTCCACCATGTCCGTCTGGTCGGAAATGTCGAAGAAGGTGAAGTTGAAGAGGATGGCGGAGGCCCCGGGGACCTGGACGGTCCAGTAGCACACCCGGCTGGCCCCGTATTTGTCCGGGAAGTCGGGGGAGTAGATCACCCCCGAGGGAGACGTGTAGTTCCCACCACAGGCCCCAACCCGGGCTAAAAGGAAAGAAACAAAAAACATGGTGATTCATTGATTCATTGATTGATTGATTGATTGATTGATTGATTGATTGATTGATTGATTGAT